CTCGAAAGTCAAAATAAACTAAAATATTATTAATTAATAAACGTCGCGTCATCTAGGGCATCTTGGTAACATATGTACCTATCGGTACCTCTGGTTCAGTGTATTTTTGTACAGAAATAATATAATTTTTTTGATTTCCAACGTATAAATCGAACGGTGGCATAGTTATAAACGATGCCTCAGCCAAGTTTTGTGAAAATAATAGTTCTGCATTTGAAAGACTACTATTTCCAAAAACGGTAAGCTTAAGCTGCAGAGTTTTGAGGGAAGATTGATAGCTGCATTCGCAAACTTTCATAAGAAATGCGAAGTTGTTCAAAACCAGGTGTAAAACACTCAAGTTACTCAAGTAATGTGAAAAAACGCAGATTACTTCTGAAAGAAAACATTAGTTATCCGCAGAACGCAAATGGCCGGGGGAAAATGAAAATACAAAACCGAAGAGGTCCTCTGACGAGACCCCGAAAATCCAAAAACAAAGTAAACTAAATTGTGGGCGAATATCCATATGTATAAAATGTATCCTCTGCTCGTGTGTGTTTGTGCGTGTGTCACAGCCCGACATAAATGTCCTTTAATGATTAATAACTTTTTCACTCCTTTTCGCGCGCACACCGATACGCAGCCACGGTCGCGGGGCAAGGGATGCGACACAAAAGCGGTTAAGTTTCACTTATCAAAAAAAATTCAAAACAAAAAAACACCATCAGAGGCGGCTACGTGCTCCCCAACTAAAAATCCAATAAACGCGAAAGCCAGTCACCAGGAACAACAACAACAAGAACAACAACAACAGCAAGCAGACTAACGATCTTTGCCACAGGATTTTCCACACTTCAAACGCTTTCTTACGTCCTTTTGCCGCGTGCGTTGTCGGCGCTCCGTTGAATCCCGTTACGGTCCGCTCCGTTACAAGTGCGCACGATAGCCGGCCGACGACTGTGCTGCTGCTGGCCGTGTGGTGAGTTATAAGGCTCCACTCTGCCTGACGACAGGAGCAGCAGTGCAGCAGCGCCAGCCTTTCGGCTGCCCCTTGCGACTCGTGCGACTCGTGCGACACGCTCGGCTCCACTAGCCATCCACCACGCGCTCCATCCAAGGCCCGTGCATTGGAGCTGCTGCTGTTGCTGCTTCGCTGTCGCTGTCGTCGCCGCTGCGCTGTGGGACTTTCCCTTTGCTCAGGCATACCAAAGCCGATGGTAAGGTCCTTCCATGGTGAGTTTTGCTTGTGCTTGCCGCTGACTGTCAGAGCTGCAGGCAAACGAGTATCGGGCGACAACCTGCCGTGATTACCAGAACCAAGGATGATAGCGCCGGCGTTAATGTTCCATAAACCACTCCGCTCCAGTTCGGGGAATTGGGTGTTCTGTGTTCACAGAAATTATATACGCTTACAACATACAAATGTTGCACAGAGTACCTCGTGAGAGTCAATTTTCGATGAACGAAACAAATTGTATTCCAAAACTTCTCACAAACCGCATAAAGGGCGAAGATCTATGTCAAATCTTCCTCGTTCAGTGAGCGCCTCCCCGGGCGGACTGATCGAGGTAATACAGCCAGTACTTCGTTGGAGAGAGACTGAAAACAATACAAAATAATTACTGTAGCTCGCAATTAATCGTGTTCAGCTCTTTATATTGCAATCTGCTCACTGACAAAACAGAAAAACACCATCCATGCAAACTCGCTCTCTCACTGAGCAGAAATCTTCGATCATCTCGGGCGGTACAGCGATGATTTCGGCACAAATGTTTGCTTTGGCACCGGAGGAGTCGAATCTGGAGATGGAGATCTGGGAGGCCAGTCAGTCAACGATTAATTTTATTAACAAGCCATGTCTATTAAACGTTAATTCGGAAGAAGTTTAGCCATGAATCGCTTCAAAAGTACATTAATAGTAATAGTACTGTAATGCGCAGTACTCTACAAATATTCGTTAACTTCTGTTTACTGAAAAAACTTTGCTCATGTCGTATTTAAAACTCTAAATAAATTGCAAACTGATTTAACAAAGTTGAAACAAAAATACCTCATACATAATTACATATGTACATACATATAAGTATAGAAATCGCTTGGTAAACATCAAAGTTTTCAATGCTTAGTTACCGACATAAGAAGTGGCCCATCCTGTACAAACTGACTACTGAATAGACTAGTTACGACTCCCATCGTCAGAACTTGTTAGTTAAAATAAGTGTTGCGTGAAAAGTTATTTTTGCAGTTAAATGCATAGTTCATAAAGCATAGTTATTTTATAGTCCTTATTTACAGCCAGTACTCGCAGAGTATAGGAGCATATTAGTTCTGTGAAGGAAGTGGATGAGTGTAACACCCACAAGGAAGCGTTTTCTATAAAGTATATATATGCTTAGTCAGCATGAGATTTAGGGGTACAGGCATCGGAACTATAAGCCCGGACGGAACTAAAGGTCGACTAAGATGATAATTAATTCATGTTGTAGGGTTGAGTATTGAGTTGAGTATTAATTCCAAAATAAAAATAAACAAGGGGGAATGTTGTGAGTTGCTGCGGAGACCGCAACTCTACATTTATACCCGATACTTAGTCAGTATGGCTCTCCTCCGGCAGACGCCGCGACTATTTGTGTGGGCGGTAGTGGGTGGGGTGAAGTTTTGAAATACACTTGTAACAGTGACATATCACAGTAGTCTAGATACGAAATGTAGTTGCTCTAGCTCTTATAGCCTCTGAGCACTATGCGCTCATATGGACGGACAGACGGATGGACGGACAGCACACATGGCTCAATCGACTCAGCTATTGATGCTGATCAAGAATATATTTATGTATGTATGTATTTACTTTATGGGGCTTTTCACCACACATCTACACCCTATACTTATTTTTAGAACATATAGGGTATAAGGATTGGGAACGGTCATCGAGTCAAATACGTATTTTCTATGGTATATCTAATATTACCATCACAATATTTCTGGCTTGCATCAGCGTCTGCATCCGGGTTCAGTGGTGCAAAATATAAACAACATTTTTACTGACACGGTTGGGTTTGAGTGCGATGTGGATGGGGTGCTTGGCAAGAAGTTCCTAAAGTCGCTTGACTATTTGTACACTGCGATCATCGGTAAGTAGTAATACAAAATCCGATTTTAAATATAGATATTTAAAATATACCTACAGTTTTATTTCGGTTTGTGCAATACCACAAGCATTGCCTAAGGCTGGGATAGTCTTCATCCCTAAAGCAGGTAAAGCCTCACACTCAAACCCGAAAGACTTTAGACCAATCAGTTGATCGTCTTTCCTCCTCAAAACCTTTCAGAGACTTATAGGGTTGCAACTACGGACAACCATAAGTCCTCAGCAGTACTCAAGTGCGCAGCATGTAGAAAAATCTCTGCATCTCAAAGAATACTCACTAATAGCTTTTCCCGATATCGAGGGAGCCTTCAACAACGTCATACCGGGCGCTATTACAGAAGCCCTCACTGACCTCACTGGGGGTGGACCGTCACTTGGTGATGCTCATTGATCAATTGCTCATACGCAGGACGGTGACATAATCGAAGGGATCGTCCACCCAGTCAAGGTATGTCAACAGAGGAACCCCGCATGGTGGAGTCCTGTTTCCTCTTCTGTGGTGGCATACGCGGACGACGTTGCAATTATCTTTGCGATTGTCCGGATAGACAGAATCGCGCGGATTGGGACACGGAATTCGTGTTATTCTCAAATAAATACAAGGTCCCGCCCCCAACCCCCCAATACTAAACGGATACAGGCTCTCCTTCAGTGACAGTACCAGTTACTTAGAGTTGGTAATTGACAAAAAGCTTAACTGGAGCCTGAATGTCAAGGATAGAGTGAAGAAGGCAACGACAGCACCCTACACTTGCAAAAAAGCTATTGGCCTAAAGTGGGGCATGAACCCAAGCATAGTCCTGTGGCCTCCTACTCTACGGAGTCACTGTGTGGAGGCCTGCCCTAACAAAAAGGACAATGACCAATCAGCTGGGCAAAGTTCAATGGACTGCCGCCCTCTGCATCAGTTGGTCAAGCGACTTTAGGAACTTCTTGCCATACTGACTAAGTATCGGGTATAAATGTAGAGTTGCGGTCTCCGCAGCAACTCACAACATTCCCCCTCGTTTTTAATACGTTTCTTCAAATTTATACAGCGCTAAAACTAAAACTAAAAAGAATAATATATTTTTTTAACCTATAAGCCCATTCTGTTGAGTGTAAAAAACACAGGAATTTAACGGCAAAATTCAACATTTGAATGATCGGCTGCAAGTTATCTTTGAATAATCGACTTTTCCCGAGTTTTGAAAGTCAAAATTTTGGGAAAAGAATTCCGCAAACAATTTCTTCAGCGACGGTGCCACTACATACATAATTACATGCGAAATAGCCTTTGGCTTAAAATAAGGCATGGGCCCAAGCATAATCCAATGGGTATATCTATCGATAGATAGACCAATACTACTCTACGGATTCCCAGCGTGGTGGCCACCAAACATCTGCTCGCGCTCTGCATCAGTGGAGCTCTCCGCACCACCACAAATTATGCGCTAAATGGCATTCTAAGCAGGCAGAAATGGCAGAAATTTGTCTAAGAGACTCCGACCACTGCCACCACAGCACATAGGTCACTCATCACTCATGAAACAACAGCAATATTGACCCACAGAAACGGACTCCCCCGATAAAGGGAAGAGCGAAGATCCTAAGAAAATCCCACAAGGGGCCGAAACCCGGCTACTAGAGAGTCTGACAGCCGCCACTAGCTAACCTAACCTAAGCTAGATTGGCCGTTTCACCCTATCGCGCTCTAACTAAAACAGAATGTTCCAGCTGACCCCCACTGCCTATGGTCACACTAAGTTATGGTAAAACTAAAAAGCAGCTACGATAGGCAGCACACGAGCTGCCGTTATGTCAAACGAGCTAGTTTTTGTATTTATCGGTGTCTCTAGTGTGTTTTGTGATTTTTCCAAATAAAAAGAAAATGAAATTGCGCAGCCAATCCTACCGCGAAATGGTTAAAATACTCAAAGGTACAGTGCACATAATCTGATTTACACTCTTCTAAGATATCTACATATCTTTTACCCGCAGACGCTGGTGTCTATGTGGAAGGAATGCAAACTTCAGAGCTTAAGCAGCTTTTGCAGACCGTAGAAATGTCCACCATGCAGCGAATCGAGGCAAACCAGGAAAACCAGAATTTCGAAACTGCCCGCAATGTATTTTGAGTGTTCTTTGATCCATATGTGAAGTTGCTTTACACGTGTTTTCTTGCAGGAAGGCGAGCTGGAGGTTAATTCATCGCACCCCGTGGAGGTCCACCAATCGACTACCGACATGCTGCCGTCTGTGCTGACGCCTCGTTTCTCGCTTGCGCCCATGGCTGGTGATGTGGGTGTGGATGTCTCTCAGCCTGGTTGCGATCGTCCTTCCAGTGAGCCCCTTCTTCTGTCGCCTCGTTTTTCGCTTTCGCCCATCGCTAGTGATGTGGGTGTGGATGTCTCACAGCCTGATTGCGATAGTTCTTCCAGTGAGCCCCTTCTGCTGACGCCTCGTTTCTCGCTTTCGCCCACGGCTGGTGATGTGGGTGTGGGTGTCTCACAGCCTGATTGCGATAGTCCTCCCAGTGAGCCCCTTCTTCTGTCGCCTCGTTTTTCGCTTTCGCCCATCGCTAGTGATGTGGGTGTGGATGTCTCACAGCCTGATTGCGATAGTTCTTCCAGTGAGCCCCTTCTGCTGACGCCTCGTTTCTCGCTTTCGCCCACGGCTGGTGATGTGGGTGTGGGTGTCTCACAGCCTGATTGCGATAGTCCTCCCAGTCAGCCCCTTCTGCTGACTGTTCGTGCAGTTGTACATCATGCCCTTGAGTGGAGCCCCTCGGCCGAGCGTCAGACTGTACGCGAGCGTCAGACTGTACGCGAGCGCAGTGCAGACGGGAACAGCCGCGTACTCCGCATTCGCCTCGCATTCAAGCGTGTCCAAACCAACAACAAAAACAATACCTACAGTAGCAACGATCATTCATCCCCATCCACTTAATAATTTTTTGTAATATTTGAGCTTCGCTTCTATCGCGTGGCATTCTTCCTCAGACGGAAGAACGTTTACATCGGCTTTTCGCGTGCGTCCAGACAAGGGCCATTTCCCTAACCCTAAATTTCATCCGACACACTCAGACCCGGCGATTAAATATATGTTCAACTATGCTCTTATTGATGTTTCAATATGATAATTATTATTTGGATTTATATTAAGAAACTTAATAAAATCAAAAGGCCTTCAGTGGCAAATCAAAAATCCAAATTTGAAATAAACAACAAATGCCTCCCTGGCTTAAATCTAAACTAGTCATAGTTGCCAGGCTCGCTCGGGGCCCGGCACACTTAAGCCGGCTTCGACCCATTGTTATGCCGCTTGGGATCATTCCCTTCCTGCAAGTGAGACTTCATGTCAGCAGTTGCCCCAGCCAGATGCTCTTATAAAGTTTTCGATCTTCCTGGGACACAACGTAGACATCTCCGATATGTCGTTTAGAAAGGCAGAGCCTAAGTGTTGTAGCCTTCTTCTGCTGAGAGCTGGACAGGAGCAGAACAGGTGTTCCACTGTCTCCTCCTCGTCCTCGTCTCTGCAGCTGCGGCAGAAATTATTATGTGGGGCACCCAACCTGTTAGCGTGGGTGCCTACTAGTGCCCTGTGAGGGAACGTATGACTGCGCAACATCGTTCCCTGCCTAGTTTGCAGAGCCCTAAGGTTCGCTTCTTGTCTACGGTCGGCCATGTTTGCCGAGTTATGCGACAACGTGACCCTATTTGCCACTTTTCGTCTGTCAGTCGCTTGTATTGCTGATTTATGATGAGCTTACAGGTGGCCATAGGCATCCAAATATTCTCCTTATCTTTGAGAAGGGAGGTCGTAGTACCAGATCTGGCCAGCTCGTCCGCTATGCAGTTGCCCTCGATGTCCCGGTGGCTGATAACAAATTGCTGAGCCATCTCGTGAAGAGATTTGCGGCAGTTCGCCACAGTAGCCGAGTTCGAGGAGATTGCGTTAAGTGATCTGATCGCAGCTTGGCTATCGCCGTAGATGTTGAGATGGGTTGCCGTGGCGGCAACCGTATGAAGGCATTACAGAGCCTCCCTGATTGCTGTAACTTCCGCTTGGAAGACGCTACAGTGATCCGGAAGCCTGAATCATTGCCTTATGTTTAGCTGTTCAGAGTATATTCCTCCTCCGTAAAGATGCTTATGGCTCCATCGGGGCCTAGGAGTCCCTCGAGCCATTCGTCTCTGTGAGGGATGATAGTGCTGAATGGAGTATCCGTGTACTTCATTGGAACTTGATAGTCCGTTCTTGCTGGGACAATTATGTTTTTTTTAGTATGGATGAGTGACCTGTGTGCTGAGGTAGCTATTGTTCAGAGTCTCTAAGACGTATTGCTGCCATTTCTGCCCGCTCTTTCTCTGCGAGGTCAAGGCTCTGGAGGCTTAACATGGCGTTTAGCGCATCATTTGGTGTGGTTCGAAGAGCTCCACTGATGCAGAGGGCGGCAGTCCATTGAACTTTGCCCAGCTGATTGGTCATTGTCCTTTTTGTTAGGGCAGGCCTCCACACAGTGACTCCGTAGAGTAGGAGGCCACAGGACTATGCTTGGGTTCATGCCCCACTTTAGGCCAATAGCTTTTTTGCAAGTGTAGGGTGCTGTCGTTGCCTTCTTCACTCTATCCTTGACATTCAGGCTCCAGTTAAGCTTTTTGTCAATTACCAACCCTAAGTAACTGGTACTGTCACTGAAGGAGAGCCTGTATCCGTTTAGTATTGGGGGGTTGGGGGCGGGACCTTGTATTTATTTGAGAATAACACGAGTTCCGTGTCCCAATCCGCGCGATTCTGTCTATCCGGACAATCGCAAAGATAATTGCAACGTCGTCCGCGTATGCCACCACAGAAGAGGAAACAGGACTCCACCATGCGGGGTTCCTCTGTTGACATACCTTGACTGGGTGGACGATCCCATCGATTATGTCACCGTCCTGCGTATGAGCAATTGATCAATGAGCATCACCAAGTGACGGTCCACCCCCAGTGAGGTCAGTGAGGGCTTCTGTAATAGCGCCCGGTATGACGTTGTTGAAGGCTCCCTCGATATCGGGAAAAGCTATTAGTGAGTATTCTTTGAGATGCAGAGATTTTTCTACATGCTGCGCACTTGAGTACTGCTGAGGACTTATGGTTGTCCGTAGTTGCAACCCTATAAGTCTCTGAAAGGTTTTGAGGAGGAAAGACGATCAACTGATTGGTCTAAAGTCTTTCGGGTTTGAGTGTGAGGCTTTACCTGCTTTAGGGATGAAGACTATCCCAGCCTTAGGCAATGCATGTGGTATTGCACATACCGAAATAAAACTGTAGGTATATTTTAAATATCTATATTTAAAATCGGATTTTGTATTACTACTTACCGATGATCGCCGTGTACAAATGGTCAAGCGACTTTAGGAACTTCTTGCCAAGCACCCCATCCACATCGCACTCAAACCCAACCGTGTCAGTAAAAATGTTGTTTATATTTTGCACCACTGAACCCGGATGCAGACGCTGATGCAAGCCAGAAATATTTTGATGGTAATATTAGATATACCATAGAAAATACGTATTTGACTCGATGACCGTTCCCAATCCTTATACCCTCTATATGTTCTAAAAATAAGTATAGGGTGTAGATGTGTGGTGAAAAGCCCCATAAAGTAAATACATACATACATAAATATATTCTTGATCAATACTACTCTACGGATTCCCAGCGTGGTGGCCACCAAACATCTGCTCGCGCTCTGCATCAGTGGAGCTCTCCGCACCACCACAAATTATGCGCTAAATGGCATTCTAAGCAGGCAGAAATGGCAGAAATTTGTCTAAGAGACTCCGACCACTGCCACCACAGCACATAGGTCACTCATCACTCTTGAAACAACAGCAATATTGACCCACAGAAACGGACTCCCCCGATAAAGGGAAGAGCGAAGATCCTAAGAAGATTCCACAAGGGGCCGAAACCCGGCTACTAGAGAGTCTGACAGCCGCCACTAGCTAACCTAACCTAAGCTAGATTGGCCGTTTCACCCTATCGCGCTCTAACTAAAACAGAATGTTCCAGCTGACCCCCACTGCCTATGGTCACACTAAGTTATGGTAAAACTAAAAAGCAGCTACGATAGGCAGCACACGAGCTGCCGTTATGTCAAACGAGCTGGTTTTTGTATTTATCGGTGTCTCTAGTGTGTTTTGTGATTTTTCCAAATAAAAAGAAAATGAAATTGCGCAGCCAATCCTACCGCGAAATGGTTAAAATACTCAAAGGTACAGTGCACATAATCTGATTTACACTCTTCTAAGATATCTACATATCTTTTACCCGCAGACGCTGGTGTCTATGTGGAAGGAATGCAAACTTCAGAGCTTAAGCAGCTTTTGCAGACCGTAGAAATGTCCACCATGGAGCGAATCGAGGCAAGCCAGGAAAACCAGAATTTCGAAACTGCCCGCAATGTATTTTGAGTGTTCTTTGATCCATATGTGAAGTTGCTTTACACGTGTTTTCTTGCAGGAGGGCGAGCTGGAGGTTAATTCATCGCACCCCGTGGAGGTCCACCAATCGACTACCGACATGCTGCCGTCTGTGCTGACGCCTCGTTTCTCGGTTGCGCCCATGGCTGGTGATGTGGGTGTGGATGTCTCTCAGCCTGGTTGCGATAGTCCTTCCAGTGAGCCCCTTCTTCTGTCGCCTCGTTTCTCGCTTTCGCCCATCGCTAGTGATGTGGGTGTGGATGTCTCACAGCCTGATTGCGATAGTTCTTCCAGTGAGCCCCTTCTGCTGACGCCTCGTTTCTCGCTTTCGCCCACGGCTGGTGATGTGGGTGTGGATGTCTCACAGCCTGATTGCGATAGTCCTCCCAGTGAGCCCCTTCTGCTGACTGTTCGTGCAGTTGTACATCATGCCCTTGAGTGGAGCCCCTCGGCCGAGCGTCAGACTGTACGCGAGCGTCAGACTGTACGCGAGCGCAGTGCAGACGGGAACAGCCGCGTACTCCGCATTCGCCTCGCATTCAAGCGTGTCCAAACCAACAACAAAAACAATACCTACAGTAGCAACGATCATTCATCCCCATCCACTTAATAATTTTTTGTAATATTTGAGCTTCGCTTCTATCGCGTGGCATTCTTCCTCAGACGGAAGAACGTTTACATCGGCTTTTCGCGTGCGTCCAGACAAGGGCCATTTCCCTAACCCTAAATTTCATCCGACACACTCAGACCCGGCGATTAAATATAATTAAATATATGTTCAACTATGCTCTTATTGATGTTTCAATATGATAATTATTATTTGGATTTATATTAAGAGACTTAATAAAATCAAAAGGCCTTCAGTGGCAAATCAAAAATCCAAATTTGAAATAAAATTGGCTTAAATCTAAACTAGTCATAGTTGCCAGGCTCGCTCGGGGCCCGGCACACTTAGGCCGGCTTCGACCCATTGTTATGCCGCTTGGGATCATTCCCTTCCTGCAAGTGAGACTTCATGTCAGCAGTTGCCCCAGCCAGATGCTCTTATAAAGTTTGCGATCTTCCTGGGACACAACGTAGACATCTCCGATATGTCGTTTAGAAAGGCAGAGCCTAAGTGTTGTAGCCTTCTTCTGCTGAGAGCTGGACAGGAGCAGAACAGGTGTTCCACTGTCTCCTCCTCGTCCTCGTCTCTGCAGCTGCGGCAGAAATTATTATGTGGGGCACCCAACCTGTTAGCGTGGGTGCCTACTAGCCAGTGCCCTGTGAGGGAACGTATGACTGCGCAACATCGTTCCCTGCCTAGTTTGCAGAGCCCTAAGGTTCGCTTCTTGTCTACGGTCGGCCATGTTTGCCGAGTTATGCGACAACGTGACCCTATTTGCCACTTTTCGTCTGTCAGTCGCTTGTATTGCTGATTTTTGATGAGCTTACAGGTGGCCATAGGCATCCAAATATCCTCCTTATCTTTGAGAAGGGAGGTCGTAGTACCAGATCTGGCCAGCTCGTCCGCTATGCAGTTGCCCTCGATGTCCCGGTGGCTGATAACAAATTGCTGAGCCATCTCGTGAAGAGATTTGCGGCAGTTCGCCACAGTAGCCGAGTTCGAGGAGATTGCGTTAAGTGATCTGATCGCAGCTTGGCTATCGCCGTAGATGTTGAGATGGGTTGCCGTGGCGGCAACCGTATGAAGGCATTACAGAGCCTCCCTGATTGCTGTAACTTCCGCTTGGAAGACGCTACAGTGATCCGGAAGCCTGAATCATTGCCTTATGTTTAGCTGTTCAGAGTATATTCCTCCTCCGTAAAGATGCTTATGGCTCCATCTGGGCCTAGGAGTCCCTCGAGCCATTCGTCTCTGTGAGGGATGATAGTGCTGAATGGAGTATCCGTGTACTTCATTGGAACTTGATAGTCCGTTCTTGCTGGGACAATTTTGTTTTTTTTAGTATGGATGAGTGACCTGTGTGCTGAGGTAGCCATTGTTCAGAGTCTCTAAGACGTATTGCTGCCATTTCTGCCCGCTCTTTCTCTGCGAGGTCAAGGCTCTGGAGGCTTAACATGGCGTTAAGCGCATCATTTGGTGTGGTTCGAAGAGCTCCACTGATGCAGAGGGCGGCAGTCCGTTGAACTTTGCCCAGCTGATTGGTCATTGTCCTTTTTGTTAGGGCAGGCGACCACACAGTGACTCCGTAGAGTAGGAGGCCACAGGACTATGCTTGGGTTCATGCCCCACTTTAGGCCAATAGCTTTTTTGCAAGTGTAGGGTGCTGTCGTTGCCTTCTTCACTCTATTCTTGACATTCAGGCTCCAGTTAAGCTTTTTGTCAATTACCAACCCTAAGTAACTGGTACTGTCACTGAAGGAGAGCCTGTATCCGTTTAGTATTGGGGGGTTGGGGGCGGGACCTTGTATTTATTTGAGAATAACACGAGTTCCGTGTCCCAATCCGCGCGATTCTGTCTATCCGGACAATCGCAAAGATAATTGCAACGTCGTCCGCGTATGCCACCACAGAAGAGGAAACAGGACTCCACCATGCGGGGTTCCTCTGTTGACATACCTTGACTGGGTGCGTATGAGCAATTGATCAATGAGCATCACCATGTGACGGTCCACCCCCAGTGAAGTCAGTGAGGGCTTCTGTAATAGCGCCCGGTATGACGTTGTTGAAGGCTCCCTCGATATCGGGAAAAGCTATTAGTGAGTATTCTTTGAGATGCAGAGATTTTTCTACATGCTGCGCACTTGAGTACTGCTGAGGACTTATGGTTGTCCGTAGTTGCAACCCTATAAGTCTCTGAAAGGTTTTGAGGAGGAAAGACGATGAACTGATTGGTCTAAAGTCTTTCGGGTTTGAGTGTGAGGCTTTACCTGCTTTAGGGATGAAGACTATCCCAGCCTTAGGCAATGCTTGTGGTATTGCACATACCGAAATCAAACTGTAGGTATATTTTAAATATCTATATTTAAAATCGGATTTTGTATTACTACTTACCGATGATCGCGGTTTGTACAAATGGTCAAGCGACTTTAGGAACTTCTTGCTAAGCACCCCATCCACATCGCACTCAAACCCAACCGTGTCAGTAAAAATGTTGTTTATATTTTGCACCACTGAACCCGGATGCAGACGCTGATGCATGCCAGAAATATTTTGATGGTAATATTAGATATACCATAGAAAATACGTATTTGACTCGATGACCGTTCCCAATCCTTATACCCTCTATATGTTCTAAAAATAAGTATAGGGTGTAGATGTGTGGTGAAAAGCCCCATAAAGTAAATACATACATACATAAATATATTCTTGATCAGCATCAATAGCTGAGTCGATTGAGCCATGTGTGCTGTCCGTCCATCCGTCTGTCCGTCCATATGAGCGCATAGTGCTCAGAGGCTATAAGAGCTAGAGCAACTACATTTCGTATCTAGACTACTGTGATATGTCACTGTTACAAGTGTATTTCAAAACTTCACCCCACCCACTACCGCCCACATAAATAGTCGCGCCGTCTGCCGGAGGAGAGCCATACTGACTAAGTATCGGGTATAAATGTAGAGTTGCGGTCTCCGCAGCAACTCACAACATTCCCCCTCGTTTTTAATACGTTTCTTCAAATTTATACAGCGCTAAAACTAAAACTAAAAAGAATAATATATTTTTTTAACCTATAAGCCCATTCTGTTGAGTGTAAAAAACACAGGAATTTAACGGCAAAATTCAACATTTGAATGATCGGCTGCAAGTTATCTTTGAATAATCGACTTTTCCCGAGTTTTGAAAGTCAAAATTTTGGGAAAAGAATTCCGCAAACAATTTCTTCAGCGACGGTGCCACTACATACATAATTACATGCGAAATAGCCTTTGGCTTAAAATAAGGCATGGGCCCAAGCATAATCCAATGGGTATATCTATCGATAGATAGACCAATACTACTCTACGGATTCCCAGCGTGGTGGCCACCAAACATCTGCTCGCGCTCTGCATCAGTGGAGCTCTCCGCACCACCACAAATTATGCGCTAAATGGCATTCTAAGCAGGCAGAAATGGCAGAAATTTGTCTAAGAGACTCCGACCACTGCCACCACAGCACAGAAACGGACTCCCCCGATAAAGGGAAGAGCGAAGATCCTAAGAAAATCCCACAAGGGGCCGAAACCCGGCTACTAGAGAGTCTGACAGCCGCCACTAGCTAACCTAACCTAAGCTAGATTGGCCGTTTCACCCTATCGCGCTCTAACTAAAACAGAATGTTCCAGCTGACCCCCACTGCCTATGGTCACACTAAGTTATGGTAAAACTAAAAAGCAGCTACGATAGGCAGCACACGAGCTGCCGTTATGTCAAACGAGCTGGTTTTTGTATTTATCGGTGTCTCTAGTGTGTTTTGTGATTTTTCCAAATAAAAAGAAAATGAAATTGCGCAGCCAATCCTACCGCGAAATGGTTAAAATACTCAAAGGTACAGTGCACATAATCTGATTTACACTCTTCTAAGATATCTACATATCTTTTACCCGCAGACGCTGGTGTCTATGTGGAAGGAATGCAAACTTCAGAGCTTAAGCAGCTTTTGCAGACCGTAGAAATGTCCACCATGCAGCGAATCGAGGCAAACCAGGAAAACCAGAATTTCGAAACTGCCCGCAATGTATTTTGAGTGTACTTTGATCCATATGTGAAGTTGCTTTACACGTGTTTTCTTGCAGAAAGGCGAGCTGGAGGTTAATTCATCGCACCCCGTGGAGGTCCACCAATCGACTACCGACATGCTGCCGTCTGTGCTGACGCCTCGTTTCTCGCTTGCGCCCATGGCTGGTGATGTGGGTGTGGATGTCTCTCAGCCTGGTTGCGATCGTCCTTCCAGTGAGCCCCTTCTTCTGTCGCCTCGTTTTTCGCTTTCGCCCATCGCTAGTGATGTGGGTGTGGATGTCTCACAGCCTGATTGCGATAGTTCTTCCAGTGAGCCCCTTCTGCTGACGCCTCGTTTCTCGCTTTCGCCCACGGCTGGTGATGTGGGTGTGGGTGTCTCACAGCCTGATTGCGATAGTCCTCCCAGTCAGCCCCTTCTGCTGACTGTTCGTGCAGTTGTACATCATGCCCTTGAGTGGAGCCCCTCGGCCGAGCGTCAGACTGTACGCGAGCGTCAGACTGTACGCGAGCGCAGTGCAGACGGGAACAGCCGCGTACTCCGCATTCGCCTCGCATTCAAGCGTGTCCAAACCAACAACAAAAACAATACCTACAGTAGCAACGATCATTCATCCCCATCCACTTAATAATTTTTTGTAATATTTGAGCTTCGCTTCTATCGCGTGGCATTCTTCCTCAGACGGAAGAACGTTTACATCGGCTTTTCGCGTGCGTCCAGACAAGGGCCATTTCCCTAACCCTAAATTTCATCCGACACACTCAGACCCGGCGATTAAATATATGTTCAACTATGCTCTTATTGATGTTTCAATATGATAATTATTATTTGGATTTATATTAAGAAACTTAATAAAATCAAAAGACCTTCAGTGGCAAATCAAAAATCCAAATTTGAAATAAAATTGGCTTAAATCTAAACTAGTCATAGTTGCCAGGCTCGCTCGGGGCCCGGCACACTTAGGCCGGCTTCGACCCATTGTTATGCCGCTTGGGATCATTCCCTTCCTGCAAGTGAGACTTCATGTCAGCAGTTGCCCCAGCCAGATGCTCTTATAAAGTTTGCGATCTTCCTGGGACACAACGTAGACATCTCCGATATGTCGTTTAGAAAGGCAGAGCCTAAGTGTTGTAGCCTTCTTCTGCTGAGAGCTGGACAGGAGCAGAACAGGTGTTCCACTGTCTCCTCCTCGTCCTCGTCTCTGCAGCTGCGGCAGAAATTATTATGTGGGGCACCCAACCTGTTAGCGTGGGTGCCTACTAGCCAGTGCCCTGTGAGGGAACGTATGACTGCGCTACATCTTTCCCTGCCTAGTTTGCAGAGCTCTAAGGTTCGCTTCTTGTCTACGGTCGGCCATGTTTGCCGAGTTATGCGACAACGTGACCCTATTTGCCACTTTTCGTCTGTCAGTCGCTTGTATTGCTGATTTTTGATGAGCTTACAGGTGGCCATAGGCATCCAAATATCCTCCTTATCTTTGAGAAGGGAGGTCGTAGTACCAGATCTGGCCAGCTCGTCCGCTATGCAGTTGCCCTCGATGTCCCGGTGGCTGATAACAAATTGCTGAGCCATCTCGTGAAGAGATTTGCGGCAGTTCGCCACAGTAGCCGAGTTCGAGGAGATTGCGTTAAGTGATCTGATCGCAGCTTGGCGGCAACCGTATGAAGGCATTACAGAGCCTCCCCGATTGCTGTAACTTCCGCTTGGAAGACGCTACAGTGATCCGGAAGCCTGAATCATTGCCTTATGTTTAGCTGTTCAGAGTATATTCCTCCTCCGTAAAGATGCTTATGGCTCCATCTGGACCTAGGAGTCCATCGAGCCATTCGTCTCTGTGAGGGATGATAGTGCTGAATGGAGTATCCGTGTACTTCATTGGAACTTGATAGTCCGTTCTTGCTGGGACAATTTTGTTTTTTTTAGTATGGATGAGTGACCTGTGTGCTGAGGTAGCCATTGTTCAGAGTCTCTAAGACGTATTGCTGCCGTTTCTGCCCGCTCTTTCTCTGCGAGGTCAAGGCCCTGGAGGCTTAACATGGCGTTAAGCGCATCATTTGGTGTGGTTCGAAGAGCTCCACTGATGCAGAGGGCGGCAGTCCGTTGAACTTTGCCCAGCTGATTGGTCATTGTCCTTTTTGTTAGGGCAGGCGACCACACAGTGACTCCGTAGAGTAGGAGGCCACAGGACTATGCTTGGGTTCATGCCCCACTTTAGGCCAATAGCTTTTTTGCAAGTGTAGGGTGCTGTCGTTGCCTTCTTCACTCTATTCTTGACATTCAGGCTCCAGTTAAGCTTTTTGTCAATTACCAACCCTAAGTAACTGGTACTGTCACTGAAGGAGAGCCTGTATCCGTTTAGTATTGGGGGGTTGGGGGCGGGACCTTGTATTTATTTGAGAATAACACGAGTTCCGTGTCGCAATCCGCGCGATTCTGTCTATCCGGACAATCGCAAAGATAATTGCAACGTCGTCCGCGTATGCGACCACAGAAGAGGAAACAGGACTCCACCATGCGGGGTTCCTCTGTTGACATACCTTGACTGGGTGCGTATGAGCAATTGATCAATGAGCATCACCAAGTGACGGTCCACCCCCAGTGAAGTCAGTGAGGGCTTCTGTAATAGCGCCCGGTATGACGTTGTTGAAGGCTCCCTCGATATCGGGAAAAGCTATTAGTGAGTATTCTTTGAGATGCAGAGATTTTTCTACATGCTGCGCACTTGAGTACTGCTGAGGACTTATGGTTGTCCGTAGTTGCAAACCTATAAGTCTCTGAAAGGTTTTGAGGAGGAAAGACGATCAACTGATTGGTCTAAAGTCTTTCGGGTTTGAGTGTGAGGCTTTACCTGCTTTAGGGATGAAGACTATCCCAGCCTTAGGCAATGCTTGTGGTATTGCACATACCGAAATAAAACTGTAGGTATATTTTAAATATCTATATTTAAAATCGGATTTTGTATTACTACTTACCGATGATCGCAGTGTACAAATGGTCAAGCGACTTTAGGAACTTCTTGCCATACTGACTAAGTATCGGGTATAAATGTAGAGTTGCGGTCTCCGCAGTTTTAATACGTTTCTTCAAATTTATACAGCGCTAAAACTAAAACTAAAAAGAATAATATATTTTTGTAACCTATAAGCCCATTCTGTTGAGTGTAAAAAACACAGGAATTTAACGGCAAAATGCAACATTTGAATGATCGGCTGCATGTTTTCTTTGAATAATCGACTTTTCCCGAGTTTTGAAAGTCAAAATATTGGGAAAAGAATTCCGCAAACCATTTCTTCAGCGACGGTGCCACTACATACATAATTACATTCGAAATAGCCTTTGGCTTAAAATAAGGCATGGGCCCAAGCATAATCCAATGGGTATATCTATCGATAGATAGACCAATACTACTCTACGGATTCCCAGCGTGGTGGCCACCAAACATCTGCTCGCGCTCTGCATCAGTGGAGCTCTCCGCACCACCACAAATTATGCGCTAAATGGCATTCTAAGCAGGCAGAAATGGCAGAAATTTGTCTAAGAGACTCCGACCACTGCCACCACAGCACATAGGTCACTCATCACTCATGAAACAACAGCAATATTGACCCACAGAAACGGACTCCCCCGATAAAGGGAAGAGCGAAGATCCTAAGAAAATCCCACAAGGGGCCGAAACCCGGCTACTAGAGAGTCTGACAGCCGCCACTAGCTAACCTAACCTAAGCTAGATTGGCCGTTTCACCCTATCGCGCTCTAACTAAAACAGAATGTTCCAGCTGACCCCCACTGCCTATGGTCACACTAAGTTATGGTAAAACTAAAAAGCAGCTACGATAGGCAGCACACGAGCTGCCGTTATGTCAAACGAGCTGGTTTTTGTATTTATCGGTGTCTCTAGTGTGTTTTGTGATTTTTCCAAATAAAAAGAAAATGAAATTGCGCAGCCAATCCTACCGCGAAATGGTTAAAATACTCAAAGGTACAGTGCACATAATCTGATTTACACTCTTCTAAGATATCTATCTTTTACCCGCAGACGCTGGTGTCTATGTGGAAGGAATGCAAACTTCAGAGCTTAAGCAGCTTTTGCAGACCGTAGAAATGTCCACCATGGAGCGAATCGAGGCAAACCAGGAAAACCATATGTGAAGTTGCTTTACACGTGTTTTCTTGCAGGAAGGCGAGCTGGAGGTTAATTCATCGCACCCCGTGGAGGTCCACCAATCGACTACCGACATGCTGCCGTCTGTGCTGACGCCTCGTTTCTCGCTTGCGCCCATGGCTGGTGATGTGGGTGTGGATGTCTCTCAGCCTGGTTGCGATAGTCCTTCCAGTGAGCCCCTTCTGCTGACTGTTCGTGCAGTTGTACATCATGCCCTTGAGTGGAGCCCCTCGGCCGAGCGTCAGACTGTACGCGAGCGCAGTGCAGACGGGAACAGCCGCGTACTCCGCATTCGCCTCGCATTCAAGCGTGTCCAAACCAACAACAAAAACAATACCTACAGTAGCAACGATCATTCATCCCCATCCACTTAATAATTTTTTGTAATATTTGAGCTTCGCTTCTATCGCGTGGCATTCTTCCTCAGACGGAAGAACGTTTACATCGGCTTTTCGCGTGCGTCCAGACAAGGGCCATTTCCCTAACCCTAAATTTCATCCGACACACTCAGACCCGGCGATTAAATATAATTAAATATATGTTCAACTATGCTCTTATTGATGTTTCAATATGATAATTATTATTTGGATTTATGTTAAGAAACTTAATAAAATCAAAAGGCCTTCAGTGGCAAATCAAAAATCCAAATTTGAAATAAAATTGGCTTAAATCTAAACTAGTCATAGTTGCCAGGCTCGCTCGGGGCCCGGCACACTTAGGCCGGCTTCGACCCATTGTTATGCCGCTTGGGATCATTCCCTTCCTGCAAGTGAGACTTCATGTCAGCAGTTGCCCCAGCCAGATGCTCTTATAAAGTTTTCGATCTTCCTGGGACACAACGTAGACATCTCCGATATGTCGTTTAGAAAGGCAGAGCCTAAGTGTTGTAGTCTTCTTCTGCTGAGAGCTGGACAGGAGCAGAACAGGTGTTCCACTGTCTCCTCCTCGTCCTCGTCTCTGCAGCTGCGGCAGAAATTATTATGTGGGGCACCCAACCTGTTAGCGTGGGTGCCTACTAGCCAGTGCCCTGTGAGGGAACGTATGACTGCGCTACATCTTTCCCTGCCTAGTTTGCAGAGCTCTAAGGTTCGCTTCTTGTCTACGGTCGGCCATGTTTGCCGAGTTATGCGACAACGTGACCCTATTTGCCACTTTTCGTCTGTCAGTCGCTTGTATTGCTGATTTTTGATGAGCTTACAGGTGGCCATAGGCATCCAAATATCCTCCTTATCTTTGAGAAGGGAGGTCGTAGTACCAGATCTGGCCAGCTCGTCCGCTATGCAGTTGCCCTTGATGTCCCGGTGGCTGATAACAAATTGCTGAGCCATCTCGTGAAGAGATTTGCGGCAGTTCGCCACAGTAGCCGAGTTCGAGGAGATTGCGTTAAGTGATCTGATCGCAGCTTGGCGGCAACCGTATGAAGGCATTACAGAGCCTCCCCGATTGCTGTAACTTCCGCTTGGAAGACGCTACAGTGATCCGGAAGCCTGAATCATTGCCTTATGTTTAGCTGTTCAGAGTATATTCCTCCTCCGTAAAGATGCTTATGGCTCCATCTGGACCTAGGAGTCCATCGAGCCATTCGTCTCTGTGAGGGATGATAGTGCTGAATGGAGTATCCGTGTACTTCATTGGAACTTGATAGTCCGTTCTTGCTGGGACAATTTTGTTTTTTTTAGTATGGATGAGTGACCTGTGTGCTGAGGTAGCCATTGTTCAGAGTCTCTAAGACGTATTGCTGCCGTTTCTGCCCGCTCTTTCTCTGCGAGGTCAAGGCCCTGGAGGCTTAACATGGCGTTAAGCGCATCATTTGGTGTGGTTCGAAGAGCTCCACTGATGCAGAGGGCGGCAGTCCGTTGAACTTTGCCCAGCTGATTGGTCATTGTCCTTTTTGTTAGGGCAGGCGACCACACAGTGACTCCGTAGAGTAGGAGGCCACAGGACTATGCTTGGGTTCATGCCCCACTTTAGGCCAATAGCTTTTTTGCAAGTGTAGGGTGCTGTCGTTGCCTTCTTCACTCTATTCTTGACATTCAGGCTCCAGTTAAGCTTTTTGTCAATTACCAACCCTAAGTAACTGGTACTGTCACTGAAGGAGAGCCTGTATCCGTTTAGTATTGGGGGGTTGGGGGCGGGACCTTGTATTTATTTGAGAATAACACGAGTTCCGTGTCGCAATCCGCGCGATTCTGTCTATCCGGACAATCGCAAAGATAATTGCAACGTCGTCCGCGTATGCGACCACAGAAGAGGAAACAGGACTCCACCATGCGGGGTTCCTCTGTTGACATACCTTGACTGGGTGCGTATGAGCAATTGATCAATGAGCATCACCAAGTGACGGTCCACCCCCAGTGAAGTCAGTGAGGGCTTCTGTAATAGCGCCCGGTATGACGTTGTTGAAGGCTCCCTCGATATCGGGAAAAGCTATTAGTGAGTATTCTTTGAGATGCAGAGATTTTTCTACATGCTGCGCACTTGAGTACTGCTGAGGACTTATGGTTGTCCGTAGTTGCAAACCTATAAGTCTCTGAAAGGTTTTGAGGAGGAAAGACGATCAACTGATTGGTCTAAAGTCTTTCGGGTTTGAGTGTGAGGCTTTACCTCCTTTAGGGATGAAGACTATCCCAGCCTTAGGCAATGCTTGTGGTATTGCACATACCGAAATAAAACTGTAGGTATATTTTAAATATCTATATTTAAAATCGGATTTTGTATTACTACTTACCGATGATCGCAGTGTACAAATGGTCAAGCGACTTTAGGAACTTCTTGCCATACTGACTAAGTATCGGGTATAAATGTAGAGTTGCGGTCTCCGCAGTTTTAATACGTTTCTTCAAATTTATACAGCGCTAAAACTAAAACTAAAAAGAATAATATATTTTTGTAACCTATAAGCCCATTCTGTTGAGTGTAAAAAACACAGGAATTTAACGGCAAAATGCAACATTTGAATGATCGGCTGCATGTTTTCTTTGAATAATCGACTTTTCCCGAGTTTTGAAAGTCAAAATATTGGGAAAAGAATTCCGCAAACCATTTCTTCAGCGACGGTGCCACTACATACATAATTACATGCGAAATAGCCTTTGGCTTAAAATAAGGCATGGGCCCAAGCATAATCCAATGGGTATATCTATCGATAGATAGACCAATACTACTCTACGGATTCCCAGCGTGGTGGCCACCAAACATCTGCTCGCGCTCTGCATCAGTGGAGCTCTCCGCACCACCACAAATTATGCGCTAAATGGCATTCTAAGCAGGCAGAAATGGCAGAAATTTGTCTAAGAGACTCCGACCACTGCCACCACAGCACATAGGTCACTCATCACTCATGAAACAACAGCAATATTGACCCACAGAAACGGACTCCCCCGATAAAGGGAAGAGCGAAGATCCTAAGAAAATCCCACAAGGGGCCGAAACCCGGCTACTAGAGAGTCTGACAGCCGCCACTAGCTAACCTAACCTAAGCTAGATTGGCCGTTTCACCCTATCGCGCTCTAACTAAAACAGAATGTTCCAGCTGACCCCCACTGCCTATGGTCACACTAAGTTATGGTAAAACTAAAAAGCAGCTACGATAGGCAGCACACGAGCTGCCGTTATGTCAAACGAGCTGGTTTTTGTATTTATCGGTGTCTCTAGTGTGTTTTGTGATTTTTCCAAATAAAAAGAAAATGAAATTGCGCAGCCAATCCTACCGCGAAATGGTTAAAATACTCAAAGGTACAGTGCACATAATCTGATTTACACTCTTCTAAGATATCTACATATCTTTTACCCGCAGACGCTGGTGTCTATGTGGAAGGAATGCAAACTTCAGAGCTTAAGCAGCTTTTGCAGACCGTAGAAATGTCCACCATGCAGCGAATCGAGGCAAACCAGGAAACCCAGAATTTCGAAACTGCCCGCAATGTATTTTGAGTGTACTTTGATCCATATGTGAAGTTGCTTTACACGTGTTTTCTTGCAGGAAGGCGAGCTGGAGGTTAATTCATCGCACCCCGTGGAGGTCCACCAATCGACTACCGACATGCTGCCGTCTGTGCTGACGCCTCGTTTCTCGCTTGCGCCCATGGCTGGTGATGTGGGTGTGGATGTCTCTCAGCCTGGTTGCGATAGTCCTTCCAGTGAGCCCCTTCTTCTGTCGCCTCGTTTTTCGCTTTCGCCCATCGCTAGTGATGTGGGTGTGGATGTCTCACAGCCTGATTGCGATAGTTCTTCCAGTGAGCCCCTTCTGCTGACGCCTCGTTTCTCGCTTTCGCCCACGGCTGGTGATGTGGGTGTGGGTGTCTCACAGCCTGATTGCGATAGTCCTCCCAGTCAGCCCCTTCTGCTGACTGTTCGTGCAGTTGTACATCATGCCCTTGAGTGGAGCCCCTCGGCCGAGCGTCAGACTGTACGCGAGCGTCAGACTGTACGCGAGCGCAGTGCAGACGGGAACAGCCGCGTACTCCGAGTTCGCCTCGCATTCAAGCGTGTCCAAACCAACAACAAAAACAATACCTACAGTAGCAACGATCATTCATCCCCATCCACTTAATAATTTTTTGTAATATTTGAGCTTCGCTTCTATCGCGTGGCATTCTTCCTCAGACGGAAGAACGTTTACATCGGCTTTTCGCGTGCGTCCAGACAAGGGCCATTTCCCTAACCATAAATTTCATCCGACACACTCAGACCCGGCGATTAAATATATGTTCAACTATGCTCTTATTGATGTTTCAATATGATAATTATTATTTGGATTTATATTAAGAAACTTAATAAAATCAAAAGGCCTTCAGTGGCAAATCAAAAATCCAAATTTGAAATAAACAACAAATGCCTCCCTGGCTTAAATCTAAACTAGTCATAGTTGCCAGGCTCGCTCGGGGCCCGGCACACTTAAGCCGGCTTCGACCCATTGTTATGCCGCTTGGGATCATTCCCTTCCTGCAAGTGAGACTTCATGTCAGCAGTTGCCCCAGCCAGATGCTCTTATAAAGTTTTCGATCTTCCTGGGACACAACGTAGACATCTCCGATATGTCGTTTAGAAAGGCAGAGCCTAAGTGTTGTAGCCTTCTTCTGCTGAGAGCTGGACAGGAGCAGAACAGGTGTTCCACTGTCTCCTCCTCGTCCTCGTCTCTGCAGCTGCGGCAGAAATTATTATGTGGGGCACCCAACCTGTTAGCGTGGGTGCCTACTAGTGCCCTGTGAGGGAACGTATGACTGCGCAACATCGTTCCCTGCCTAGTTTGCAGAGCCCTAAGGTTCGCTTCTTGTCTACGGTCGGCCATGTTTGCCGAGTTATGCGACAACGTGACCCTATTTGCCACTTTTCGTCTGTCAGTCGCTTGTATTGCTGATTTTTGATGAGCTTA